CGTGCCGCTCTTTTCGGCGGGCAGTCTCGGGCGTCGCAGGGGGCCTCGCGCGCTCGTGGGCGAAGGCCGAGGCGGAGGGCGCTCAGGGGCTGCGGCCAAGTCGGGCCTGCCCCTCTACAGGGGGATGTTCAAAAATAGTCCAACAAAAATGCGGGGACGATTTTTTGGGGGAATTGTGATGTGTGTATATATATATATATATATACTAGAACCACGCGCGCGCTTCGCGCGCTTAGGTTCTCTTTTGGGGGCCTCTTTTGGGCCTCTTGGGGGCCTCTTTTGGGCCTCTTGGGGGCCTCTCGGGGGCCTCTTGGGGCGGAAAGCTCGACATGCCGGTTCGTATTTCCCCTCTTGGGTCCCTCTTGGGGTCGTCCTGAAGCCCTCTTGGGCCGTCTTGGGCCTCTCTCGGGCCGTTTGGGGGCTCTCTTGGGCCGGCTTGGGGGCCTCTTGGGGGCATCTTGGGGGCCTCTTGGGCCCTCTTGGGACGATGTTAGAGGCTTTTTGCGTAGTCTTGGCATGTCGGAAGCCCGAAAACGCGAACAGCAAAAAAACAGCAAAAAACACGATGAACATCGACTATGCTGGCATTCTCTTGGAGCGCTCTTGGGGCCTCTTGTGGGCCTCTTGGGGGCCTCCTGGGCCATCACGGGGCCATCTTCGGCGGCTTGGTGCGCTCTCGGGCTGTCTTGGCGGCCTCTGGGCGCCCTCTGCGGGCGCCAAGGGGGGCTTCCGAGGCGCAGGGAGCGCCCTGGAGCGTTCAAATAGGCTCGCCGGCGCCGGGGACTAAAGTCGGGCGGGGGGGGGTGGGGGAGTTTTGGAAAAGTGGGCTGCCCCTGGGCCCGGGGACGTGGACGCCCGGTATATTATATACATCCGGCATCCCGCCGGCCATACATCTCTCATTCCGCTCGAATGGACCACGAATCGCTGGAGAACGCAACGGTGATCAGTCAAAGGTAGCGGCGGTGGTTCCAACCACACAAGCTCGCGCCTGACTGTTATTGCAAAAATCGTGCGCATGCACATGGCCCTGTTAAATTTGTTGCCTGAATATTCAAAAATTCGGCATCCCGCCGGCCATATATCTCTCCACGAATCGCTGGAGAACGCAACGGTGATCTGTCAAAGGTAGCGGCGGTGGTTCCAACCACACAAGCTCGCGCCTGACTGCTATTGCAATGATCGTGCGCATGCACATGGCCCTGTGAAAATATGTTGCCAGAATATTCATAAATCCGGCAATTTATTCCGTTGATGCCGAGAATATATGTACACATAAACGTATATATATATGTATATATAAAAAGGTTTAAGCATTGGCATGTGTACACTCATGCAGCTGTACAGCGGCAGATACAACTATGGACGTATACATAAACACCTGAAGCATCCGACGGGTTTGCCCTCATACCTCCGGGACAACATTCTAGTCAATGGTGTTGTTGAACGGGGTACTTTGATCGGTGTCTTTGCCGTCATGCGATGCAACTTCAAATGCAGCTAAGCGTGTATGGATTGCTGTCAAGTCAATAATATGACTCCAACTGCGAACCAGGAATTGGAATGATCCCTCAACCTTGCCGAAGGCATGCATGATCTGCTGCATCTGCCCATATGTGAAGCCTGCCGCCACAATTGTGGGCCCAAGCGCCAAATAAGGAATAAAATGGCCGAGATGCAAATAACACCATTTGGCCGCGTCAAAGTACGTGTAGTTTAAATAAATGCGAAAATTGATCGTACGTATGTCATCAAAACGTGAATCGCAAGCTTGTATGCCCGCGCGCTCTGGGTCATCTTCCCCCAGAACAAGCTCCTTCCTGTAGGCTGCCTCCACTAATTCGCTTTGGACCTTGAGCCCTGGAAGTCTGATCCCAACAAGTGCTATCAGCAATGTGCCACAGACTGCCCAAAACATTGTCAACCAAACGAGTCCATTGTGCACTTCGCCGAAAAGCGGATAGGTCGTGATGAATCTTGAATAATCAGCGAGGAGAGGCATGAACGCCATCAGCATCAGCAGCGATCTTATGAAATCAACACCAAGGTGATCAATAATTGAAACAAATCTTGACGTATCTTCTTGAACACGTTGGCTAGCCCCTTCAACGTGGCGATGCTGGTACCAATTCCGAACGTAATCATCAGTCAAAGCTTGGCGCCAGCGGAAGAGCCAATGCTTGGTGAAGAAACCCACTGCAATTTGTAAAGAAAATGCCACTAGATTAAGCTGCATAACCGTCCACAACGAGGCGTAGAATTCGTCCACCGTGGCATTGCCAGGCTTTTCCAAAGCCTTTTGGAGCAAGTCGAAGAAGCCACCAAACCAAGCGTTGACACTGACATCCAATTGAACCTGACACCACACGGTGCCACTAATTATAGCTACACCGGGCCATGACCATAGTAGCCACTGGCGCTGCCAGAAGAATTGCCAGAACATAATGCAAGCCACTGTACCGTCTGGGACGCAATATATTGACCTGCAATGGCTCCAGTCGGATGGCTTGAGCCAAAATGGCTTGAGCCAAAATGGCTACAGATGAGGCTGAGGCTGAAACTGAGGCAGGCTGAGGCATCCGTAGGAATCCATAGGAATCCTTCGGAATCCCTAGGAATCCTTTGGAATCCGTAGGCATCCCTAGGAATCCGTAGGCATAGTTCAGCATCCTTGGGAATCCTTGGGATTCCTCAGGAATCCTTAGGAATCCCTAGGAATCCATATGAATCAGGATTCCAAAGGATTCTTAAGGTTTCCTGAGGATTCCTATGGATTCCTAAGGATGCCTAAGGATGCCTTAGGTGTCCCTAGAAATCCTTAGGATTCCATTGGATCCTAAGGCCGTTGCCACTGCAACTGTGATTGCCACTGCGACTGCGATTGTGGTGCGGTCCGTTTCGCACAAGACATTCTCGCAACTCTGAGCTCTCAGATGCTGCGCAAGAGGTGGTCCAGCCTGGGGGCCCAAAGACCACATGTTACATATTCCCCCTGGGACCCTGGGAGCCCCAGGAGGCTCCAGAGAGCTTCAGGAGGCCGCAGGACGCCCAGGACAGGCCCCAGGGGTCCGCAGGAGATTCCCAGGAGGCTCCCAGGAGGCCCCATGAGGCCTTCTATCAGAACGTGTCAAGTTAATACACATCCGGTGCCGATTCGTTGATTTTTCCTGCTCTTGTGGCCCCCCCCCCTTCATTTTGGGGGGCTCCGACTGCCACATGTTAGATATCCCCCCCTGGCAGCCCCAAGAGGCTTCAGGAAGCCCCAGGTGGGGTCCAGGAGGCCACAGGAGGCCCAGGATGAAGCCCCAGGAGGTCACCAGGAGGTCCCAGGAGGCCCCAGGAGGCCCCGCAACTCGGAGCTCTGAGACGCCGCGCTCGAGGTGGTCCGGCCCGTTTCGCCTGAGACTTCCTCGCAGCACGTTTCGCCCGAGACATCGTCGCAACTCTGGGGTCCGAAATGCCGCGCGCGAGGTGGTCCAGCCCGTTACGCCTGAGACATCCTCGCAACTCTGGGCTCCGAGATGCCGCTCGGGATGAAGAGGAGGTGGAGGAGGAGGAGGAGGAGGAGGAGGAGGAGGAGGCATGTTCAACATGCCATGCCCGCCTGCACTGGACGGGCACGCAATCGACCTTGGAAACCGCAGTGGGTCTAAAAACCCTGTTTGGGGATTTTGCACTCCGGCTATAATTTCACACCGGGCCTTTTCGCCTGCTTTCGGGCCCTGGGGCCATCACAGATCGATCCGGCTCGAGAGAAGCTGCAAAAAGATGGGGTCCGAGGCTTCAGGCGTGATCTTCCGCGATGTTGCAACTGTTCCGCCACGTCGGGTCTCAGGGGACGGGGACTGGTACGGCAGGTTCGTGTCGTGCCGACCCCAGCGTTGGTTTTTGACACCGCGGGGATCGTTCAACCTTGAACGATCGGCCGCTGCCGCAACGTCCGATCGTTCAACATCGATCGATTCTGGGTCGCCGGCGGCGTTCAACCTTGAACGTCCGCGCTGGGGTCGCCGCTGGTCGACACGACGCAAACCTACCGTAAGGCTTCGGGTTTCGGGTTGCACACAGGCAGCCCCCCCAGATAGCAACACGGCTGGCCTCAACAGGCCCCCGAGCAGCCCGGGGCGGTCTCAACACCCCGGCGCCGCCTCCGGGGGCTGCGCCCCTGGGGCGCTCCCCTCAGGGTTAAGTCGGGCGCGTCCCCCTACAGGGGGATTTTCGACGAAAAATGAAAAAAATACCCCAAAGATATTCCAAAATTGACAAAACATACCTAAAAATTCGCCGGCCCAACGGACCAGGGCGTGCTAAGATCTCCGGTAACAGGTAAACAGTCTTTCTAGTTCGCACGCGCAGGGCGGCCCCTGGGGTCCCCGAGCGAAAAGTACCCCGGGCGATCCCCCGCAGATCCCCGGCAGACTAGGGGTCAGAGATGCCGGAATTCTGTTTCGGAGCCCAAGAGGGCTCCAGATCGCCCCAAGAGGGCCCCAAGAGGCCCCAAACATGGTCCAAGAGGGGCCCCAGACGCCCGAAGATCGCTCCACGACGCCCAAGATGGCCTCCAGACGGCCCAAGAGGCCTCCAAGATGGCCCAAGAAGCATCTAAGAGGCCTCCAAAAAGCGCCCCAAGAAGCAAAATTCGTTGATTTTCCATTGGTTTTTGAAGGTTTTTGGCGTTCTCGCATTTTCAGCTTCCGACGCTCCAAGACGCCCCAAGAGGCCCCCAAGACCGCCCCAAGACCGCCCTAAGACGGCCCGAGAGGTCTCCAAGAGGGCCCCCAAACGGCCCAAGATGGCCCCAAGACTGCCCAAGAGGCCTCCAAGACGGCCCAATACACCCCCAAGACGGCTCCAAGAGAGGGCACAGACGGGGGACCCGAACGACATTTCGACATCTTTGCCCGAAGAGGCCCCTAGGAGGCCCCAAGAGGCCCCCAAGAGGTCCCAGGAGGCCCCAAAAACACCTCCAACAGGCCCCCGAGAGGCCTCCCAAGAGACCC